CCTGCAACCTCAGCAGTGTGCAAACCTCCACGGTCCAATCCTACCCCCAACCCACTTGCAGTCGCAGGCTGTGGGAGCCCTGGGGAACGCGGCCCCACGGCTTCAACTGGCACATCGGACGGGGAGCTCCAAACCTTCTCTTGGCTCGAGCTTTCTTTCCCCCTAGCGCGAGGATAAGCTCCCCGATGCATTGGATTTCACGCTGAATCTCCTCTGCGTCTTCGGGGTCCTCGCCACCGCGCAAAGCCGCGACCGAGAATCTGGTCCGCAGCCGACGGACCATCTTTGTCGGATGCCAATCCCCGCCTATCTTGGAGAACTCATCCGCAAGGAGGGTGGCTTTGGTGCTTAAGGCGTCAAGGTCACGGGAGCTCACCGTGACTCCATGCGCTTTCAGCGCGAGGACAATCCGCGAAACGCGCGTCAAGTAGTCCGCGACCGGTTCTTGGTCTGGACGGAAAATCGCGCGCAGCTCCGCCTGCAAGCCCTCTGCGGTGCCTGGCACTGAACCTGCTGTCGACGGCGGACCGGACGGTCCCGCCGGGCGGGACCCTGGTGCCGTAGCAGGGACATAGGCAGCACCGGTAGGGACCATGGCCAGCTCCCTAGCCGCGGCGCTGACGTCCACACGCGGCGGACTGTCGCCTCCAGCGCCCGAGGCCTCAGGGACTAGCTCGGAGTCCTCTTCTTCTTCCTCCTCATCCTCGTCCTCGTCTTCGGCGTCATGGAGGAACTTCATGACTTTCCGCCAGAGAGCCGCCTCTTGCTCTGGCGTAGTACTGATCCCATCCCGCTTGGACAACGGACGGCTGCCAGTCTCCCTACGCCACTTAAGCCAAGCGACGTAGCTCATCCGCTCGGGATAGGGAACGTCTCCACCCTCGATAGCTTCGAGGAGGGTGACGCCCTCAGCCTGACCTGCAACCTCTGCGGACATTGCCGCAACACAAGGCGAAAAGCCGCGCCTTGGTAAGCAGGCCGCAGGCGTGGCACGCGAAGCGCCGCGCCTTGGTTAACAGGCCGCAAGCGTGGCACACAGTCCACGCGTCCAGGTCACGGACCGCGACAGACAAGCAAAGCAATGCTTGCCCACTCGGGCCGTAGGCACAAGAGCTGTACGATTCCCAGAACAGCCCCCAATTGTGAAGTCGACCAGCACTGGACTTGCACTAAGCCAATGCAATCACAGCCCGGTCACGCTGTTTTACGACTTCGCGAGTTCAAGCACTTGTGCAGCTACGCCTGAGTGCGTCCGGTCGGACCGCACAGCAACCTAGGAGCTACTGTACGACTCTACCGTGCTCAAAGGCACAAGCTCGGTACTTGAGCCAAAACATTGGCATTGTTACGAATTGCAAAACTACACATGCAAGGGAAAACTACAAGCTGCACTAGCACTAAGCAAGCACTCCATGCATGCTTTGACCTGCTCACAACGGGTCTGTATATGTATGTATGTACATATATAAAAATGTGTGTAGGTTGTACGTCAGCGTATACGTATATGGAGCTGTGGTTTCGGATGGTTTCGGTTTCAGGGCTCGGGGTTTACAATATGTGTGTGTGTGTGTATGTATGTATATATATATATATATAGATGTATACACATATATATATATATGCATATATACATATATATATATATATACACATACACATATGTACAAATATAGATATATACATAAATATATATATATATACACATATATATATATGCCAACAGAGCCTCCTATGATCCACAAAGCCTTGGTTCCAAAAGCAACACTATCAGTAAGGCTGTCCCCAACAAATCAATCGCATTAAATCAAGTTAACATCTTAAGGGGTGCGCAGTGTTCTTGCGCTATCACGGCAGGAACATCAATGGGTCGGCTCCCAAACATATGAGCGTACTGCATGGCAGCTGCAGCAAGGGGAACTCTGCAGAGACTCTAGCATGAGACCATCAGACCGGTTTCTTCCAAGCGCTTGCCCTCGCGGCTCTCTTCTGCTCCAGCTTCTCCTCCTTACGTTCTTTCCTTTTGAGCCTTGCAGTGCTCGCTTCTCCTCTGGTGCGACTGTTGTCCACGGAGTGAAAGACGAAGGCAGGGTAGTGGGAGTCCGTGTCATACATGCGGATTCGCAAGTCTCTGGAACTCTTAGGTCGAACTTGCCGAAGATCCCCCTCAAGGCCCACTGCCCCGACGGTAGGTCTTCAGTCACTGCCTGAACCAACTGCCCGCTCCGAGCCAGAAAATCCTCGGGCATTGCAACTGCCAATCCTGATTCTGCGACAGCGACGACACTGTATTCCAAGCTCTCCAACCGTTGCAAATCCATGAGGTCGCACTCCTGCATGGCTAAGTATGACCACGTGCCTGCAAGGAAGGCTGAGGTGTCGATTCCCTAAACCCTAAACCCTAAACCCGAAACCCTAAACCCTAAACCCTAAACCTTAAACCCGAAACCCACTCCTGCATGGCTAAGTATGACCACGTGCCTGCGAGGAAGGCTGAGATGTCGATTCCCTGGCGCACCGCGCCGGCGTTCCAGCATAAGCCGGATATCCGATTGTGCAGTCGCCGTGGATGAATCTGATGTCTCACCGCCTGCTCCGTGTAGTCAAAGCGGTACACTTCGCCGACTCCTGCCGCCTCGACCTCCGTGACCTCCGCAGTGGACGGCCGCTGAAAAATTTGCGACAAGGGCTGCTCTTCCTTTGCCAGATGTTGCGCCTGAAGGGGCCACTCCTCCGTGGGCCCCTTCAAACCGCGCTTGCGCTCCTTCCTTGTCCACGTCAGATCCATTTGCAAAGGCGGGTTAGCAAAAATCGCGGCGAAGAACTCATCCTCATTCCCCTGCGCAGCCATTCGCACAGCCTGCGGCGAATACGCAGACAGAATGACATCTTGTGTCAATGGCTTTGTCCGTCCCAGGGCATGAAAATGCGTCTCCTCGTGCAACATCGGACGTGGCTCAGGCAAATGCGGCCAATCAACCACTCTTTCTGGATACATGCGGTCCAATGCGTTCCAAGTCGACATGTATAATCGCGACACAGTCTTGGACACCCGATTGCCTCTTTGCATATCGAGTTGCTGGTACACCCAACTGGTTCCAAAGTCGCTTGCGTAGCGGAACCCTGCCCCAAATTGCGCCGCGGCGGCACGCGTCAAGTCTTCCAGACGGTCCTCCATGGCTGAGTCGCGCTGAAAGGAAAATCCCCTCACGCTTCACAAGAATGGTGCCTGTTCTTTTGCGACTCATACGAAACAATGGTTTACCAATCTTTATGGAGATCTTTCTGAATTAGCACGGGCTCCGCCAAGGGCGGGCGCAGGCCATCAGTTGGGTACCCTTTTTAAGATGCTTAAGGCAGTATAAGGGCCATGTTTGGAGTATATAAAAGGAGCCCTTAGGGGTACAACCTTAGGGATGCAAGTCTGAATCCCTTGAGGGTGCCTGATGTCGCAGCGGCGGACTATAAGTACCGTGAACTATGGTCTCAGCCTTGCTTGAGGCACAGACTGCACCACGACTCACCAACTCCCCACAAAAAGAACCCTGGGTCATAATGAAACAATGGTTTACCAATCCTTATAAAGATCTTTCTGAATTAGCACGGGCTCCGCCAAGGGCGGGCGCAGGCCATCAGTTGGGTACCCTTTTGAAGATGCTTAAGGCAGTATAAGGGCCATGTTTGGAATATATAAAGGGTCACCAACTCCCCAGAAAAAGGATCCTGGGTCATATGAAACAATGGTTTACCAATCTGTATAAAGATCTTTCTGAATTAGCACGGGCTCCGCCAAGGGCGGGCGCAGGCCATCAGTTGGGTACCCTTTTGAAGATGCTTAAGGCAGTATAAGGGCCATGTTTGGAATATATAAAGGGTCACCAACTCCCCAGAAAAAGGATCCTGGGTCATATGAAACAATGGTTTACCAATCTTTATAAAGATCTTTCTGAATTAGCACGGCTCCGCCAAGGGCGGGCGCAGGCCATCAGTTAGGTATCTTTTTGAAGATGCTTAAGGCAGTATAAGTATAAGGGCCATGTTTGGAATATATCAAGGGTCACCAACTCCCCACGAACAAGACAAGAGTGACGGAACTGCGGGACTTGCGCAGTCCCGACGTGGACGCGCTTGGCGCCATGGTCTGAAACTTCGCGCTGCTTGAGAAGAGCTGGTACCGCTTGCAAGAAACTAACATGGCTTGGAAGCCTACTTGGCCCTTAACATGTTCGCCATCCTCATCTTCTTCTTTGCCGGACCACCCGAACCCGTGACGTCTACCGAACGCGCTGGAGGCGACAGCGGTAGTACCGGCGCCCGGCTTGAGGACGCCCCACCGTCCTGGACTTGCACACGCCCAGGCGGAAGGGGCACTGCCCTGTCCTGGTTGTTTTTCTTTGGTGCCATAGCAGTACAAGACTACCCCTACGACACGAGCACTACACCTCTGCCTCTGACAAACGCGCGACGCAGAGACTGCCAATATTTTTTTCCAATGCCCAGCTGCAACAGCTGTTCCGTGCTGGCTGAAACAGTCACAGCACGGCAAGCATTGAAAACGATCCTGTGTCGAAAAGGCTTTGACATCAAGGACTGAGACGCCAACCCTAGACCCTAAACATGCGAGACACCCTCACACTCACAGTCCAATATGCAAGAGCCTGGGCCACAGACATCAGTCATAGGTTTAGGGTTTAAGGTTTAGGGTTAAGGGCTTTGGGCGGGCGAGGGCCCCGGGAGCCCTGTCCGGGTGGTTTTCGCTTGCGAAACGACTGCAACGAAGGCACTTGTACGTTGTAGCAGCGATAAGTGCACTCTTGTGACACAGCCGGTGCCAACAAGATCTTTTTTTTAGCACGTTTCGCCTGAACTTTCTCCCCAACTCCCCAAACACGTATTGAAAGAGTATGGTCAGCGCGACCAAGGCCTAGCCTATCTTTCTGCATAATGATAGGCCGGGGCCTCACCCACAGTCCCAGTACATATGTACACATCCCTACTCAGACTCAGAGTGACCATCGTACAGCTGTTTCGCGTACTGAAACTGGCCAGATCGTCTGACGATGACGAAGAAAATGGATGTGGCCGCACGCACGAATGTTGGAACACATGAACTCACCGCACATCTGTTGAACCTGATCCAAGAGCTTGCGCTCTTGCTCACTACGGCTCTTCAAAGCTTCGAAGTTCTCATCATGCCGAAGGTCATCAAACTCAACATCATCATCGTCAGAGTCGCTTAGAATCCAACTGGGAGACTGCAAGACTAGCTCGACGCTTGTCGTGGGCAGCACAGATGGAAACAAGAACTCGAGCACTTGCCCCGAGCAGGAAGATGGTAGTGAAAGATAAGGCACTGTCATCCAGAATATGATGTCCTGGCGCTGTGCGTCGTGAAGTTCGATTTCTTGTAGTAGAACTCGGAGCCACGCTACGGTCTCTTGGCGAGTTCGTTGAATGGCCACCAATGGACGCGCGAAGTAGTTGCGCTCAGCAGCACGGATGCAAATGGGAAGCACGTTCCACACGAGCTGGGCTTCTTGCGCTATCACGGCAGGAACATCAACGGGTCGGCTCCCAAACATATGAGCGTACTGCATGGCAGCTGCAGCAACGGGAACTCTGCAGAGACTCTACAATCTACTACTGGGATATGTGCGGCTTTGGCGAATCGACGGAGAAAGTCT